GATTCTTTAGGGTTTTCTATATATAAAATCATGTCATCTGCAAATAGTGACAGTTTCACTTCTTCCTTTCCAATTTGGATCAAAAATTATTTTTAAAGAGTTCTATTTAACTAACTAAAGTGAACTCATATAAATTATTTCTAAATACAATAAAAACTAATCCAAATGTTTTTAAGTTAATATGATATAAAATAATCTTTGGTAAATAAAAGCTTGGTTAATTTTGTTGGGTTGATTAAAATAGGCATGCCCTCAGAGTTATCAGCATTGGATGTAATGCAAACATGCAACTCTTATACTGGGCTATTAATCAAATAAGCTCATGTTATCTCTAAGATTTGTCTGCAAAAATTATAACAACTTAAGATGATGGCTAACTGCTTCAATGCCTCACAAAATTTTCGTGAATAATCTAAATAAAATTGTTAAGAAACAATGAATTACATAAATGCTGTAGGGGAAGAAGATAATTCCTCTACCCTCTAGGTCCTTTAAGCTGGTCTAAGAATTAAATTGCCATAAAACCGAATAATAGGAGATAATAAAACAAAGTTTAATAACATGTATACATGGGAGAAAAACAGGAAAACTGAGTAACTTGCCACAATGGCTGAAGTCACCATCTTAAACATCAACTTCAGCTAAAGACAAAGGAGGATGCTGGGGGTAGTGGTTTGGGACTTCAGAGGGGAGGAAGGAAATTCACATGGAGATGGAAATGCAAATGTTTGACAAACAAGTGTTTGCTGGGCCATCTATAACAACGTGACCCAAGAGACAGAACTTTTATAAAAATGGGCTTGCTGGTGCCTTTCTGCCTGTCACACCTATTTTACATCATGCTATAGTTATCTTATGGTATTAGCTCCTTCCTGGAACAGTCTTCTATCTTAAATTCTCTTAGGAAGTTAGGCAGAAGGTCAAAGTTTCTTTCCCAGTCTTTTGTCTTTAAAAATAATCAAATGAAACAGACACATTTTGGGGTGGCCAATTTTGCTCCCCCACAATGTTATTGCAATAAAAATTTTAGATGCAATAATTATGTTTTATGGTATGTGTACTTAAAAAATAACTTCAAAACTTTTTGGTAACCTGAAACTTTAGAGTTTTGCTATGTTTAATTAAATTATGGAAAATTCATTGAATATCTAGATCATTTCCAGATAAGATAAAATAATAAGACATTCATTACTGAACTTGTGTTTATCTACTTTTGGCTTCTTACTACAGAAAAACTAAAAATTCTTTTTGGATCTATGAGTAAATATGTCTTGTACCACATTAAAAAAAACTATGCTATTAAGTAAATGTATGTTTTCAGTAAAAGAAGGTTTAAAAAATAGAGATATTTTTGTTAGGAAAGTAAATTTATCCTAAAGTAAAACTGGTTATGGGAAAGAAGAAAGGACAAATTCTGAATATAAAAAGAAACTCACAGAGAAGAGGACCCCTGAGAAAAGAGTTTTATGCATGGTCAAACTGGCTAAGATTAAAATGAATTTATTTAAAAATGAATTTTAATATCAAAAGTATACTGCTACAAAATTAGAATTTGTTTTTTCTCTATTAAAGGGCAAAGTTTTCTCAGATTATTGACCTGTGCTTAGTAAGAAATTATAAACAAAGTTTCTTTCCCTTCAATGTAATCTGCCTAGGAAATAAAGCTTCTGTGTTTTGTCTTCATCAGGTCTTTGATTACCTAGAACAGCTGAGTCTTTTCTATTAAAAGAGCTAAGGTTTTGCAGCTCTATAAACTTCTATATTTGTCTTTGAGATCTTGTTGTCACTTTGGTTAAATAGATAATTAAATAATAACTTTTATAACGATCTGTGATTCTATTTAGGCAATTGTTTTTAAAAAACTTCTTTGATATTTTTGACAAACTTTCCCAAATCAGATTCTAAATGAAGTCTTTTTTGACCTCTAGCTAACTTTGGGATTTTTCAGAGAATCCCTGAAACATCTCAAAAGATTTGTTCTCTCTCCTCTTAAAAACAGGGATATTAAACTAATTAGGCTTAAATTATGTTAAATTACATGGGAAACTGTTAAATAAGAAATAACGTTAAACTTTCTTTATATTATGTCTTTATAAGTATATGTTATAAGAGTTCCAGAAATTATGTGAAATTCCCGGAAATCTAATATGTGCTGGTATAAAAAGTTTACCATCATTAAAATTGAGGCTTACACTAAATATCAGGAAAGCACGTTAGCTGATTTCATGCAAAGGCATCCACAACAGAATCTATAAAGCTTATGACACATGTGGATGAAGTCCATTCTGCTTCTGAAAAAAAAAAAAGAAAAATTGACCCCTCATTGCCAGACTTCTGCCATCCTGATGTCCCTGTAACATGCAATAATGTGCTTCTAAATCAGAGAAATTAAGATTGGTAAACAATGGCTGTAAATTAAGGGAATAGTCTGGGCTATGGGAAACCCAAGAAGGCAACTTGGTTCTTCCTGGCTCCCTGGAAAACCTCATTTATTTATTTATTTATTTATTTATTTATTGCTGAGGAAGACTGGCCCTGAGCTAACACCCATGCCCATCTTCCTCCACTTTATATGGGATGCCACCACAGCATGGCTTGACAAGCGGTGCATCGGTGCGCCCTCCGGATCTGAACCGGCGAACCCCAGGCCGCCGCAGTGGAGTGTGCACACTTAACCGCTTGCACCACCTGGCTGGCCCCCAGGAAAACCTCATTTTTTGCCTTTGCATTCCTTCACCCACCATAGTGCATTAAGAAAAACTCTTTCTGTCCCCAGAAGCCTCAGAACTCCTCCCTCTGGGTCCTGTAAGCACCTGCAGTTGGATTTCATTCAATTACTACTTAGTTTGGGTTATCATTATGTTCTTGTTATTGTACGTATGTTTTCCAGATGGTTTAAAGCCCTCCCTTGCCACAAAGCTAATGCCCTCACAAGGGCAAAGAAACTGTTAGAAAATGTATTCACCTCTTGAGATATACCTTCCGTAGTCTCCAGTGATCGAGGCATCTGCTTCACTGGGCAAATCACAGACATCTTAACAAAAACCTTTCAAACTTCTTGGAATTATCACTATTTCTATCATCCTCAATCATAAGGCAAATTTGAGAAAACTAATGGAAAAACAGGATTCAAGCAGAAGAAATATTAAATTACATGGAACTACATGAACTGAGGAAGATGCTTGTGTTTTGTTTTTCCAAATTTATAGAAATCTTTTCTCTTAAGCTATCAACAATTTGTTAAGACATACCTTTGTGAACAACGACGAAGCATTTACTTTTTCACTCTACCTGATCTCTCCAGAATTCAGAAACTCTCAGTGAGCATTCTCATTTTCACTTGTATAAATAATCAGGCTAAGTTTTTAATATGAACAAATTAGGTTTACTGTGATTATCTTTGGCCAAAAAAAAAAAAAAATGTGGGTAATTGTAGAGAGAAAAATTATGTTTGCACCTTTGTAGATATTAGATTCTAGTCCTGTTAATTGTCTTTGAGGTTTTGTTATATACCTATAGGCTGGGCTCTCCTGGCCTAAGTTGTCACTTTTGGTCTCACTGACTGTTCGCAGTGCCCTCTTTGGAAAATATAAACTCACTCCACGTGAGACAGTCACCACCAGATCGGTGTCTATCGGTACACAACCTTCTGCTGATTCCTTGTTGTCTTATGCTGGTATGACCAGCTACTGTAAGTCTCTAATGTCTTGTGCTTAAGCCTATCATCAACAGGTTAAAGAAGCTTTCCAGGATTCCAATTTAAAAGATCCTGTTGGTCACAGTCTACAGCCTGGTGAGACGGTACTCTGGAAGCATCATCAGAGGAAGACAGCCGTCAAGCCCCATTGGCAAGGACCTTACCAAGTGCTCCTGACCGCTGACACTGCTACAGAACTAGAAGGCATTGCATACTATGGAGCCCTTTTGGGGTACACTTTTGTGTGTGATTACTACAGGGAACCATGAGCTTATGAATGTCTAGACAGCTGACATATCATAAGAAAAGTTCTTTTAGGATACCATAACATTCCGTTTCAAGTTCTTATTAAAGAAAATACCCAACCAAAATCTCATAGGTCTAGGAGACACTTGGCAACCCCCTTTTTATATCCCATCTCCTCTCTATTGATTACCATTGCCACAAGCTTTGTCCCTTGGATTGATGTTGTCCATGATGACCTGTTGATAAAAATTTTATCTCTAACCGTAGCTAAACTGGAAAATTCTACCATTCAAGCCTTGGCTCAACAACAACAATCTCTGGCTTCCCAAATGAAGGTTGTATATGATAATTGAATGGCACTTGATTATCTCCTTACAGAACAGGGTGACGTCTGTGCCATAGCAAACACTTCCTGCTGTACCTAGATCAACTCTTCTGGTGAAGTTGAGAAAGAACTCAAAAAAGTTACAAAAATAGCACAAGATCTCTCCAATCCAGTGTCTTTTAATGACACCCTCTGGTTCCCTAAGGATATTTTCAGCTGATTTCCTTCAGGTATAGGTTCTTGAATGAGATCAGAAATTCAAATATTGTTTACGGCGATTATTGGGATTTTGCTATGTGCACTTCTATTTGAACTTCTTATGCTACTACTCCCTCAGATCTGCTCCATGTTATACTAATGATTATTGTCCTGATTTGTGCAATCTTTGTTGCCTTCAAACTGCTAATGATTTGCATTTCTTGGTGCTGCATGTCTGTCTCCACTACAAGATAATAATTGCTCAGCGACTTGAGATGATTGACCAATCTTGCAACTCTGAACAAAGGACTTGATACTTCTTCCAGATAGGGACTATGCCTAAGACTCATCTGCTGACCACCTCGTTATTGCTCAGATGTGGCCAAAGTCTCTGACTGTGTTACTCTTACTGATGATTGAGCACCTTCCTTTCCCCCCATGTGGGACGTGACTTCCCCAGAATGAGCCCTCCTGGCAAGGAGGGATATATATATCCATCAAACAGTTGATCCACAATGCTTTCTGCTGAAAGATCTTGGTCAAAAGGAGAAAACATGGACAATGATAACAAAATGGAGTAACATGTGTCGAGGCTTCTAAAATGCAGCTGGGAGGCCATTAAGGAAGTGTGGCTTATGTTCCTACACTGCATCCACCACCAGACGTTAACTGAACGTTTGAACTTTGCCTGACACCAGAGGTCACATCTTGGGGCACCTCCTCATTCCAAGAACAGACATTCTGCCTAGATACCGCTCAAGGACCAATCATGTATTGGCAAGTCAGCTCGCCCCTTGCCAGAACCAATCATCGACTATTCAACACAACCTTTGTAAGCCTGTGTCTTTTACCTTTATAAACCCCTGTCTCCTTTGTCTACCTCGAGTATATTTGAATCTCTGTCTCTCGAATTGCAATTCTTGAGACCTCAAATAATTTTTGCTTCTTTTGCAGTTTATACTTCTTATTCATTGACACTATTTTTTTGGAATTTTTCAAAATTTTTGTTCTCTTGATGGCATCTTTTCTGTTCTTCAGTATTATAATGGCCTCAAATTTTGTTGAATGGAACTTTGTCCATTGATTATTCTGAAGCAATTAGTTCATTATTTTAACATGTTCAATAAATATTTGATGAATCAAGTTAACCAGTACTCCTCTACCCTAGAGTGAAAAGAAAATTTTGAAATGTATAGAAAGAATTTTAATCAAAGTTCCTCAAAATAAATCTTCCATGCTATCCTCTTGCCTCTCAAGAGATTTATATGCATCATACCCTTCTCTAAAAAGTAACCTACACTCAGGAGGAGAATATCAGTTATCTAACTCTTCTAGGGTCTTTATTTTAAAAAAAATTCTCTGTGGGAGTGGTTAAGAACTAGTAGATCACCAAAATCCCTGTGTACCAGAGACTTAGCAAGAGATGTAAGGAGTAAAGTATTGTGCCTGCTTCATTAAAGTCGTAGTAATATTTCACTGCAACAGAGGAGTTGAATGCTTCCCTCTTTCCCCATCTTGGGAATGTGCATTTCCACTGTCTGAAATTTTCCACATTCACAGCAAAAACTATGTTCATACTTTTCATTTGACTTTAATACAATAGAAATTCAAATGGTCTGTCAGCCCAACTGATCTGCTGATTATTTTTGCTAGCTGCCTTTCAATTTGCTATGCTCATTCAAAAATTTGAATCTGTTTTTCATCCATTCAATTTTAATATGCACTCCTGTGGCTCCCACTTTGAAGTCAATGGGAAAAACCTTTGTGTGGAAGAGATGCTTTGGGGGGATAAAATAATTCAAGTCCTTTCTCAATTGAACATAATAAATTAGGCACAGCCCAGAAATTTGAGATACAGTCTGCCCTTTCTCCTCTTTTATAAAGAGAAAAGAATCCTTCAAAAATAATTTTTAATGTTTTTGGTCAATGCTGTGAACATGGTGTAGCTATCTTGGTGTTACATTTAAAAATGAAAAACTTACATATTTTGCTACACAAAATGATAATTTGAAACCATTATCTATCTCTTAGCTAGAATTAAGGGTTTACTTTTTTCCCCATTTCCTCTCTCAATTATCATCATTAGTATTTTGGTTAAGTAGTTAGACACACTTTCAACAGGAAACATTAATAGGAGAAAGTAGGCACTGTTTTTTTATGCTGTTGATCTAATTCGCTGCAATTATCAGAAATATTAAGTTATCACTGCAGCAAGTTTAAGCTTAATTTACTCAATGACTAACAGAAATGAATGTAATAATCATATCACTAAAATTAAAATAGGAAACAAAAGATATAGAAGATATAAATGTAACTCATACATAATACTGATGTTAATTATCATTTACACTTAAGCTATGCAGCATTATTCCTTTAAGGTTGATTTAGAATAAAAATCACTTTTATATCTATCATTAATATGTAGTATATTATTATATTTACACTGGCTCAGAACACTGCCTTTGCAAAGAGGCATTAAGTGAGAAAGAAATCTGGAATATTTAAAGCCAAAAGAATTCTAACTGAAAAGGAAATCTGCTCTTTCTGGGAAGTGCTAACTCTCCTTTAAGCATTTTTAGTATGTCAAGCACACCATCTGTGCTCAATTACTTGTTATTTTGTAATGTCAACATCTGCTTATAAGAAAATATATGCTTGCATAAATTAAAGACTTCTTTCCATACAAGAATGTGAAAGCTCTTTATGTCAATCCACATGTCATTCATTCCTCATTCTTCTTTTCGTTCTCTGCTGAACAATGGAAGTTAAAATACCAGAACATCGGAAAAGCAAAGATCCCAACAAATTTGTGCAACACACGTGAAGCAAGGATACAAGGAATTAAATTTATGTAATCTTTATGCATTTCATTGAATACAGATTTAAATTTTATGTAAGTAGTCTGGAAATGTCAGAGATAATTGAATACGAAATGATATTCACAACTCAGTTATACCCATAACTCAATAAAATCACTTATTTGAATGGTAGAGACGGGCTCACATAATATTTTCTCTGCTGAATTGCTTTGGCTTCTCTTTTTCCATCAAGAAAAAGCTGAATCTCACAATAGGTACCAAATCAAATATTTCCTCAACTAAGAATAATTTCCCTACTTCATCCACCAATATTAATGCTGTTTCTACTACACAACACACTTTGTAGTTACATTTTTGTTCACTGTATTTTAAATTACTTTTTATTTTTGTCAATATTATAAATGCCCATAGTTGAGAAATCAAATAAATCTAAGACTTTTAATGAAAACTAAGAGCACACTCTTCAGTTCGCATTCAACATAGACCTTCTTCCTAGAGACAACCATATTCAAATATTTCACTTATTTTTTCCAGATATTTTAAAATAATATTTTTTAAAAATAATATTCTTAAAGTTTTATTTCATAATTTGTCAAATTTAGACACCACCTATTAATTTCCTGTTATAATAGGTGATGGTTTAGCCTTCTTATTTCAAGCACCTTTCTGGACCATCCATTAACCCAATGCAGTTGCATCATAAGTATGCATTAAATTAATAGACAATGCTTATTTTATTGTGATGTATAAATACGACTTATTATCAATCCAAGCATTGTATTATGTTTATTTTTATCTTCTTATAAAATAGCATTTTTTCTTGGCATCAATAATTACATTTTTTCTTTAGTTTTCTATATATCTATTGCTATTTTTCTTTTCTAAATACACTAACAGATCTGTCAAAGCATAGAGTAATTATCTCAAGTGATCCCATATATAGATAATATATAATTGCACTTTCATGTTTTTCATGTTGCTCTTTCTGGGTGGTTAGTCGCTGGGACTGATGCTCAGCTGTCATTTTGGATCTTTTCTGCTCTCCTGCAGCAGTGGAGTGATGGGTCTGGATGGATCACCTACCCTTCAGATTCTTTCTTAGATTACTTCTTGTTTTGTTGAAGATCATCTTTCAATAGTTTCCTAACTGCTTAAGAATTTAAAAATTAGAGTCCCCTTTCATGTCAGGAAAAAATGTCACAGACTTGGAGATGGACAAAAAGATTACTGAGTGTCGTTTCAGAGGAGTTCTGGACAAAATCTAGCAAACTCTTTAGGGAATGCCTGATCTGTAGGAATGTGCTCCTTTGGTAATCTTCCTGTTGACTAAACTATTCTACAATTGTATAAGGATCCAAGTCAAGGTATAGAAAACTGATAGTCAATCAAATAATCTTTTCCATAGTAATGCAAATGAGTTTTGTCTAGTAGGTGGAAATACAATTGATTTTGCCTTGGAGAAAAGATGATCTCAAACATTACCTCATATTGCTCTATAGGTATTAATTTTCGCAAGTGAAAATTAATTTTAGCATTCCTATTCAATATATATTCAAATTCTCCTTTAACTGGTTTTAACGTCAATTAATGGGTGAAATAAAATATTTGACTTATTTTATATATTCACAAAAGTCATATTTTTATCTTGTAAACTAATTTAATACATTTTTAAAAATGTCTTTGTTATAGTCTCCTAGCAAATTGATAGTTAGATTGGGTAAAGAATTTTAGATTGCAAATCATTTCCTTCGGTATTTTGAAGGCATCATTTCACTAATTTCTGGCAGATCAGAAACCTTATATCTTTCCCATTCACATACCTTTGTATATCATCTTTTTTGTTCTCTTTCTCTCTCTGGAGCTTTTAAAGTCTTCTCTTTTTCCCCAGGATAAAATTTCAGAATGTACTGGGTATTCAGTAGTTTCTTTTAGCCTGGAAATTCAGGTTTTTATAGACAATGTTCCTTTGTTTCTTTGAGGCAGCTTGGAGTAGTGGTTATAAGTGTAAGCATTAACATTAGACTGTTATTTTTAAAAAAATTTCTGTGAGCATAGTCTTAATTTATAAGAATTCTTTCCTTTAATCTGATTTTCCCTTTTCACAGTATAGTCCTTTTATGATAGGACTACACTATCTACAGTTACAACTAGGACAAAAAAGAATAGATAACAATGATTCAACATCAAGAGAGGTCATAGTGTGCTGGACATATAAGAATGCTCATTTTGACTAGAGTATCTGGGAAGAGAAGTGGTAAGAAATGAGGATGAAGAGAGGCGATGTGGCCAGATAGCAAATGAGCTACCTTCCCTCTTATGTTATTGTCTCCTAGGGTTATTCAGTTGACTTATCCTCTATTGTGTTTTGTTTCTTTAACATAAATTTCTCCTCATCGTCTGTTTTTCCCTTCTTAAAACTTAATATGAAAAATTTATTTTTATGCTTCTCCAAACTCAGATTTATTCCAAGTACTTAACCTACTCTCCAGAAAATGTTTTCTATTTGAAAACAAACTTTCACCACTCCCTGCCCCATCCACTCTAATGTGCTATTCTCGGACATTTACTGAATACTCTAGGAATTTATCCCAGTTTTGTTCATCATTAGTGGTGTGATCTGGCAAACTACTTTAACTCCTTGGATTCATTTTCAACATTTGTGAAATAAGGTTAGTAATTCCCACCTCACGAGACTGTAGGTAGTATATGCGAGATAATGGGCACTGCCTTATCACATGATTGAAATCGCCATGGATTCTGCACACTGCATAGCAAAAGATGGGGATCATCAATTGGATTTCCATAAGCATCACTTTAATGAAAATATAGAGTCCAGAAAGAAGTTCCATTTTTGAAACAGATTTAGAAAATTATGGTTCCATTAGCACAGGGTGCTCAAATTATGTAAGTCATTCCTGTCCCTTGCAATATCTGTATACCAATGGCAGGAGCCCAACATGTAAGGGCTGTCAAGCCCCTTAGAAATTATCATGTCTAACTTTTCTTTTATTACAGTTATATTCATATATTGTATACCATGCAATTTAGCAACTAATTACATATTATTTGCATTCTTCTTTAGGTGTAATTATATGTCAATCTAATTCTTTCAATTCTTTCATGACAAGATCTTAACTTTTATTTTTCTATCCCTCAAAGTGCTTTGCAGAATATTAGCTGGGCATATTCAGTTAAAATAGTATTTATTAATTAGTGGGTGATAAATATTCATCTGAAATAAATAAAAATAATCCACTATGCTTCTCTTTTTAAGAACCCTCTGTAATGTGGGTGGGCCTCACCCCATCAGTCAAAGATCTGAATAGAACAAAAGGCTGACTTCCACTGAGCAAGAAGGAATTCTGCCAGCAGATGGCCTTCAGAGTAAAGCCGCAATGTCAGCTCTTCCCAGGTGCTATGGACTGCATTAGGGCTCCTGGAAATTCATATGTTGAAGCCCTAACCCTCAATGTGACTGTATTTGGAGATAAGTCTTTTAGGAGGTAATTAAGGTTAAATGAGGACATAAGGGTGGGACCATAATCTGATAGGATTGGTGACCTTATCGAAGAGGAAGAGAGAGAGGTTTCTCTCTCTTTCTCTCCAAATTATGAGGACATAGCAAGAAGGTGGCCATCTGCAAGCTAGGAAGAAAGCGCTCACCAGAAACTGAACACTGCCATACCTTGATCTGGGACTGTTCAGCCTCCAGAACTATGAGAAAATAAATTTCTGTTGTGTAACCCACCCAGTCTATGGTATTTTGTTATGGCATCCTGACTGACTAACACACCAGCTTTCCAGCTTCACGGCCTTTGGACTTGAACTGCAACTCCAACTCTTTCCTGGGTCTCCATCCTGCTGGCTGACACTGCAATTTTGGATTTGCCAGACTCCATAATCATGTGAGCTAATTCCTTAAAATAAATCTCTCTCTCTCTCACTTGCTATGTATATATATATATATAGAGAGAGAGAGAGAGAGCAAGCTGCTATACAATAGAATGTGCATATGTATGTACATACATATACATATTCTATTTCTCTGGATAACCATGACTAATACAACAGGGTACATAAAGAAGTAGGAAGAGATAATTAAATGGTCAATGAGACCATCACAAATACCTTTAATTTCAAGTTAAGCAGCTCAGCATTCACTCTAGGAGCTCTGAAAATTATTTCCAACCATTCTGATTTGCACACAATTTTTCCCAGCATAAGCAGGTCATTCATCATTCCCAAGTATTTTATACATAAGATATTTATGGCTCTGTGATGTTCGACATGCTTTTGCCCCCGTCTGGATTTTGCTTTTCTTATTTCTTCTTATTTTCACCTGATCACCAAATCTCTTCAAATCACAGGTTCTTTCTGTCACTTTTGCTGAGCTCTTTGGAAGAATCTTTCCCTTCTTATTTTGCTTCATGGTACAATCCTCTGTTCTATATCTGTATCTATTTACCTATCTATCCCTCTATCTATCTGTCTGTCTGTCTAGCTAGCTATCTATCATCAAATTATATTACCTTAGCAAGGTATCAAGTTTTTTCTTGTTTCTTTTATTTTAGAGAATGACTCAAACATCCAATGATTCTTGAACTGGAATAGTGACAAGCTCTATTCATGTTTCTAACATAACTACAGTTATTTGACTTTGGTGTGTAGGGTGAATTAAAGTCAAAAGAGAGGAGAGGCAGGAAGATCAGTTAGAAATCCAAGAGATAAATTCAGATAAGAGTTAAGGAAAGTCTAAACCAAGTGGTGGCAAAGGAAACGAAAAAGGTAAGGGAAATGATCCGAAGTCAGAGTAAAGGACTCTGTGACAAATTGATTACGGGAAGAAAGGGAAGAGTAAGAGTCAAGTCAAGAATGTTTCATGCTTAAGCAACTTCATGTCTTTGTAAATGCTATTCTTTCAGACAGAGAAGCTCTTTCTTTTCTCATACCCTTTTTGCTGACAAACTAACAAACTTCAAAACCAAATCCAGGGGTGATCTCTTTTAAGATCATCCGGATTGAGTTTAGAGGCATCTTCTGACTCTTCAGATTAGTTTCCTGTTAGATGTATGTTAGGATGTACTTCTTTAACATCCTTTTCATACCATAACCAGAGAATTTATCATTTAGTGTTACCTGTCTGGTTAATCATCAAATTCTCCCCTTAAGGCAATGCTCAAAGTTCACCTGGTTTTTGTATTCTCCGTAGTAGCTGGGTTCCAGGCATAAAATGATGAAATAAAATAAGACAGACTAGCACATGAAAATTATTGAATGTATGAGACAATGGTGGTATCATTAACACAAAAGAAGTAATTTAGTAGTAAGAGCTAATTTGATAGACATTCTAACTTTGGTTTATTTTGTGGTGTTTGACATGATGGTAAGATCTGTGGTACAAATGTCCGGTGATGACATTGAGCTTAAAAAAAAAATCCACTTTCACATAGAATTAATAAAGTTCTGGAATTTCAGATGGATGTAGTTACTGGAGACAATATTTTAAAAATAATTTATATTGAAATGACAGTTGAAATAGATGGAGAGAATATGATCACTACAGATAAACAGGGAGAGAAGGGTGTACGGTCAAGGATACAGCCTTAAATGAGTACCTACACTGAGGGTCAGGGTTAGAAAGGTGCTAGCTAGGATAAGGAAGTTTGGAGAATGAGTAGAAAATCAGAATCAATAGCACCAAGGAAGTTGGGAGGAAAAAGAATTTCAGAGACTGAGAGAGCAGTTGAAAATGTTAATACTACATCGTATATGTATATCACATCTTCTTTATCCATTCCTCCGTTGATGGGCACTTGGGTTGCTTCCAAGTCTTGGCTATTGTGAATAATGCTGCAATGAACACAGGGGTGCATGTATCTTTTCAAATTAGTGGTATCATGTTCTTTGGATAAATACCCAAAAGTGGAAGAGCTGAATCATATGGTATTTCTATTTTTAATTTTTTGAGAAATCTCCATACTGTTTCTGTTTTCCACAGTGGCTGCACTAGTTTGCTTTCCCATCAGCAGTGTAGAGGGTTCCCTTTTCTCCAAATTATTTCCAACACTTGTTATTTCTTGTTTTTTGTTTTTTTTGTAATAGCCATTCTGACAGGTGTGAGGTGGTATCTCATTACAGTTTTGACAATAGAATACTATTCAGCTATTAAAAAACACAAAATCGTGCCATTCGCAACATGGATGGACCTTGAGGGTATTATGCTAAGCAAAATAAGTCAGACAGAGGAAGAAAAATATTGTATGATTTCACTCATAGTGGAAGATAAACATAGATGAAGAGAGTAGATTGATGGTTATCAGAGGGGAAAATGATGGGGAAAGGGCAA